GGTTAACTTTCGTATCTGCTCAAAATAGCCTTAGCGCTTATCATTCTTGTACGAAAGGTTCACGGTATATCAGAGAAGGTTTAAACTTGATCTTTCTGTGTTCATCTTTGTTGTTAATCTTTCATCTGTATGCCATATTATACTGTTGTTATAGAAAACAGGGACTAACATGTTTGTTGTGTGTTGGAGTAAACTCATGAAATTGGGATTCATGAAAAACCACATCTCTACTTCGAATGACTTTCTTCATTTCGGGATCCCACAACCTGTATCCAAATTCTTGATCTCCGTAGCCGATGAAGATGCATGGGTTTGACTTAAGATCAAGTTTTTGCCTCAACTCCTTAGACACATGTGCAAATGCCTTGCACCCGAACACTTTCAAGTGAGAGTAAGAAATGTCTTTTCCTGACCATTTCTTCTCAGGAGCTTCAAAGTTTAAGGGAACTGAGGGTGACCTGTTTATAAGATAGCAAGCTGTTAGCACAGCTTCGCCCCAGAATGGCTTTGGAAGTTTAGCCATACTGAGCATGCACCGAACTTTCTCCACGATAGTTCAATTCATTCTTTCGGCTACACCGTTGTGTTGTGGGGTCCGTGGCACTGACTTCTCATGTCTGATTCCATGTTCAGCACAATATGTTGAGAATTCTCGAGAAGTGTACTCGCCTCCATTGTCAGAACGAAGGCACTTCAGCTTCTTTCCTGTCTCTCTTTCTACCATAGTATGAAATATTTTAAAGCGATCAAATACTTGATCCTTAGTTTTGAGACAGTAAGCCCATACCTTCCGTGACGCATCATCAATGAATGTCACAAAATATTTGCTACCTCCAAGTGACTCCTCTTCAATGGGTCCACATACATCAGAGTGGACAAGGCTGAGTAACTCAGAATGATTTTTTTTAGTGGAACTGAAAGAAACCCGATGTTGTTTCCCAAATAGACAGTGTTCGCAGGGGTCCAAAGCAACATCTTTGTCAATAGAAATTGCTTCCTTCTTTGCAAGAGTTGTCAGTCCCTTCTCGCTCATGTGGCCTAACCTCTGGTGCCACAAATTTGGTGATGTCTCTCCTTGAACAGCATTGAGACTTGGACGACACAACTTTACATGGGTTTTGTAAAGAGTACCACAAATATGACCTCTTGCAATAATCATAGAGCCTTTAGATAATTTCCACGTACCTTCTTTAAATTGGCTTTCATACCCCTGATGATCCAGAGCAACTCCTGAGATAAGATTCAATCTCAGATCTGGAACATGCCGAACATCTTTCAACACAAGTATGCAACCAACACTTGTTTGAATGTGCACATCTCCAATGCCAACAATGTTTGAGAAACTTGTATTTCCCATCTTTGCAGCACCATGGTCTCCGGGATTATAAGTTGAAAATAAATTTAGGTGCAGAGTGGCGTGAAATGATGCAGCGGTATCAATCACCCATTCAATATCATGCGTACCTACATGTAGGCATGCTTCTTCTCCGCAAGTAACAAGTGCAATGTCTGGTGCCATGGTGACCATGGTCTCACCATCTTCTTTGCTTGAACTTTGACTCGTCTGAGGCTGCTCCCGTAGAAACTTTCGGCATTCCCTCTTTCTGTGCCCATAATGACCACAATGGTTGCAATAGCCCTCGAACCAAGTATTGGTATCGACGGACTTTCCCCGCTCTTGTGATCTTCCTCGAACTTGAGATCTCCCTCTACTTTGACCTCGAGCTCTGCCTCTGCCTCGACCTCGTCCTCTACCTCCATTTCTGCCTCCCCCTCGCCTGCTGGTTTCTGAGACGAGAGCATAAGACTGATCAGTCCCAACTTCCTTCCTTCGTGCTTCCTCATTCATCAAGGCATCCGTGACCATCTGCATAGTCACGGTACCATTTGGGGCAGAATTACTGAGAGTAACAACAAGAGTCTCCCAATTATCAGGTAGAGAGCTAAGTAGAAGTATTGCTTGTTCTTCATCTTTGAGGACCCATCCAGTGGTGCTCAATTGGTTCACAAGATCCTGGAACTGACTCGTGTGTTCCGACACAGAAATGCCACCACGTAACTTGTGGTTCACTAATCGTCGCATCAACAACGTTTTATTCCGAGCAGTTTTGGCTTGGTACATGCTACTAAGTTTCTCCCATAGTGTGTGAGCACTTTGCTCTTGAGAAACATGATGAAACACGCTATGATCAATCCACTGTCGGATTTGTGCGACAGTTTTTCTGTTCATCTTAGCCCATTCTTCATCCGTCTTTTTATCTGGTTTAACGCCATTATTATCAAGAGGATCAGCTAAATCTTTCAAATTTAGCAAATCCTCCATCCGAGGTTTCCACATGTTGTAATTCGTGGAAGTTAGCGCAATCATGGTATCCGATGATGATTTTTCCATGATAAAGTGTACAATTTTTCCCGTACCTTAATTTGGAAGCTGAACTAGGCCCAACGGAGCACACCGTTGAATCCGGAATGGCCAAAAATGGTGGGAGCCGGTCTCACCTCTTCAAGAACCGGCCAGAAAGGGTGTGAACCGGAGTGTTGAACCACGAACCGAACCGGTTCTGGCCAAAACCAGAGGGCAGCCAATCAGGCTGATGACGTGGCACCACATGGCAGTGACGTGTCCATGACGTGGCAGCTGACGTGCACATACAGGTGGACCAATCGGCCGATCGTCGGTGACGTGGCAGATGACTTGGCGCTGACGTGTCGATGACGTGGCGTGACCTGGTGATGACGTGGCTAGATGACTGGTCGTTTTCTCCGGCGAGGTTGCTGCCGGACTGGAGTACTGCAGTGGTTTGACTGGCAGGAGAGAGAAACTTTGACCGGACGTTTGGAGGCCTTCCGGTGCTCAAACAATTCCGAAAATTATATTTTTGGAATCCTCAAAACGAGAGCTTTCTAATGGTAACCTCAAAACAAGATTCTGGAACAAAATTTTTTTGACCAAAAATTCGAATAAAGTGATGAAATCTGGATTTCTGGACTAAACTGGCTCTGATACCACTTGTTAGGATTGGAAAATTCTTCTATTCATAAGCAGAACAGAATTACAATAGGAGGAGCAACTCTCTCACTCAACTATTACAAAAATCAACCCTTTCATACACTCACTATATGTGTATCACTCTCACTACTTTTCTCTCTGATTTTTTTTTGATGCATTTGAACAATGGAAGAGTATTCTATTTATAGGCAAGGTTGGAGACATATTCATTGGTACCCATGCTACAACCCATTCTACAACCCATGCCTCCTCTTCATGCCTCTCCATGCTTCTCTTCAGTGGGCAGGAGATGGAAGACCATCCCATGGTATGGAGGATGGAGTGGGCTTGCTGGGAGCTGGAATTCTACATAAGTCTTATCTGAACTGATCTGACTTGGTCTTGTAAATGTTTTTTCTCTGTGTATTTTATAACCACGGAAGTCAAGTCTGGTCTGGTCTGTTTAAGTCTGGTTAGATCTGGTATGTTTAAATTTGATCTGATATATTTAAGCCTGATCTGGTTTGATCTGGGACTGAAACCAGTCCAACTAAAAATATCCTAAATGTAAAATAAGGTTCTATTAAAAAAAAAATCAATAAAAAAGCCCTTGACTCAATGAAAGAGAGCTGCGACATATTGTACCTTTTCTTCGTTGGTTGGGAAGCGATAAAAACAACCTCTTCTTCAATCAATGTTTAATACGGGTTGTACGGGATGGGACTATGAGTCTATGACTATAAAAAAGTTCTTTAATGGAGTCAATTACTGTGCGAAGATGGTAAGAAGAGTGACACATTCGTAAGAGTTTGAAGCTATTTGAAAAAAATATTATGAGCTATAATTTCTCGAAGTCTTGCATATGTCGTGTTATTTAGGTTGTATTTTATTACTTGCTAAGTATGTAAATAATCGGGGTTCAAATCTTGTATACAATTTCGATTATATTTCTCAATGTTTACTATTAAATTGACTAGTTGATTAATATATTAAAAGAGATTCAATTAATAAAAATGAGTCGTAATGAAATGTGATGATTTCACTTCATTTAATAGCTATTTATACGTTTTTACTCTATTTGTTTTAAATAGAAATTATACTTGACTTTGAGAGTTTTGTTTTACTTTGTTTAAATTAAATAGTTGAAAGAATATATGAAATAGTACCTTATTCCAAAATTCCACTGTCTTTCTATATACAAACAACTGTGGAATAGCAGCATGAATTCTCGCTCAAATTTGCGGGTCAATGACTGGGTCGGGTTTCTTAAACAAAGTCGTCCAACCCGTTTAAGATTCTCGGTTCGGGCTCGGGTTCGGGTTCGTTGGGATGGATTGGGTTTAAATGTTGAAATGTTTATTGGGCTGAGCATATGGGCTAATAAAAAGATTGTTTTTTTGCAAAGACTGGTTAAACTTTTAGAAAGGACGAGTTACGTAGTACTAGTATTATATTCACAATTTTTTATTTAAATTTAAAAGTTTGTTATTTATTGGGAACTCAACATATAATTAAGTTGTCTATGGGTTGAATTGTTGAAAATGAGAATTTTAGCTATTTTTGCATATTCTTTTATGGCTTTGTTGGCTGTAACGTAGTAGACTATTTTAACTATTTTCACATATAATTTTTTATTAATTTTTTTAAATAAATACGAAGTATATTTTAAATATATATTTTTTTTATTAAGGCAATCATTGCAGTCGTAATTTCATAAATTTCATCAGAATCAATCGATTCAGCCGATTTTGATATTATCAAACAGTTTCTAAACTGAACATGGTTGTATTCTCTAAAATAAACATATCACTCGGTTAAATTTTCATAAAGTAGCTTAAAACTATGTTAGTTATACTCATTTTTAAATTACTTATCTGTGCATCGCACGGGTGAGATTCTAGTTTATATCAAAGGCAATATCACACCTCCTCACTATTTGTATCATAGATGACTATTTCCATCACTTCTTTGACTAAATTTTTATACTCCGTATCAAATACTACGTATGATAAGAACACTTTTTTTCGTGCATCACTTGGTCAATGGTCTCATCATCATTGATAATTTGATATACATGGGGGCTGGTCTCAGGAAACAAAACGCAAAATCAAACTTTTATATATATATCATAATTCAATTAGAAAGTCGTTAGTTAGAACATATACACATCAATGGCGCTTCTCCAACACTAAAGGCAGCCATTCCATACAGCTGCAAAACTTTACCCCCTTCGGAAAGCAAACACAAAAAAGAACCCCCAAGTCACTTAAACATGTCAAACACGGACTGGAATTCAGCAATCTCTATCGGCTTTGGGTTTGATGCATTGGCAAGGCCTTGAAGCAACCTGACCACGTCTGTGGTGTCGTCAAGATAATACCTTGCTCTACTCGGCTTTTGTCCGACGGTGCAAGCAAACAATTCTGGGGCTGGTGAAATGGTCAGACCAGAAACCATTTTTATGATTCCCTCAAACATGTCTTCATCCGACCTGTCATCACCTATACACACCACAAAATCAGGTGGCTTCCCCTTGTTAACCATCATCTCGAGAACCTTCTCAGCTGCCAACCCTTTGGTCACTCCCTGTATATCAATCAATGTTAACTTACTCGAACTTTTGTGGAGCTAATTCACCACATTGAAAATAAACACCAAGGATAGTTGCTTAAGAGGGACACGCATTATGACATAACCCCACCAGAACTAATACTTTTGGGCTAAAAAGGTATGGATTTTAAAGATGCTCTATTTTCACAGGTGATAGCTTTTCAAATATGGTCAAACGTCAAACATAACCGAAAAGTACTAACCTTTGTCAATTTAAAAGAGAGAAAAGGGTCAAATAAGGCCTTCTACTATTATGAAATAGTCACATAAGGCCATGTACTCAACAAAGTGTCATATTAGTACATATACTTGTATAAAGCAATCAAATGAATCCTAACGGCTTATTTAACACCTCCTAATCCCGATTTTAGCTTACATGTCGATTTTTTTGACTTGTATTTCAACCAATCTTAGTTAAATATTCGACATATGCCGTATAATGTATTCTAAAAAGATGGTCAGAAGTACGTTGAAACCAGGATTAAGAGGTGTTAAATAGGTCATGAGGACTCATTTGATTGTTTTTTACAAGTAGATGTACTTATATGACACTTTATTGAGTACATGACCTTATGTGACTATTCCATAATAGTAGAAAGCCTTATTTGACCCTTTTCTCTTTAAAAGGTGTTATGTATGTTGAAAGCAAGTGGTTCATTGGTGAATGAAGCTTAAGGTTGGTAGACAATGCCCCGCGGCTCACCCATGTTAGGGAAATAACTTTTTTTTAACTACTCCGTATAAAATTTCATTTGGGGTGATGTTTAGGGACCCTGGTTTACTAAAATTTATCACTGTAACTTGCTTGATTTTTTCTTAGGGAAATTAAATGAAAAGTAATTTGGTTTTATGACAGGTTTCAAGAGAAACTAGTTTGGAATCAGCACAAGTTTTTATGAAGAAATAATGCAAGAGAAATATTCATATGGGACTAGGGGAGAGAAGAAAGGAGGAAAGAGATCATACTTGTGGCTTCACTTCGACAATTTGCTGCCCTCTCTTGACGACAGCGGGTTCATTTGCAAGAACATTTTCCAAATGATCAAGCAATTCTTTAGCCTGGCAGGACCCAAAGTCAGGGTCCGCATCCTGGTGGTGCCAAACCAAGGCACTCTCTTTAGTTTCTATAGACGAGCCATCAGTTGCATCAGTGTATTGTTTCATTACAGGTTGAACAATTTGTTTCCACTCTACATCAGCATTCATGCATTCCCAATCTGAGCTTTTATTCCACCTGCTCAAATAGATAAATTACGGACAAGCATTAGCAACAGAAAACATTAGAGTAACACAAAGCTATCAGGGGGCATTAGGTTCACAGAATGTTCGATTATCTACGGTCATATCATTACTTTCACGAAGGTAATGTGAGATAACAGTAATTTGATTAGAATAATAAAATGTAATATTAATGTGCTCCAAATCAAAGACAACAATAGCTTATTTAAGGGTACAAATGAAATACTATCAAGGTAACCTCACCTCATTATTATTTAGATCACATCAGTATTAACTTTGGCAGTAACCTAACTATCTGATACTATCTGATTCTATCCCGGAAATCTGAAAACAACACAAAAACATGGAAAGTGTAGTGGCTCCATACCTTAAGAAAAAACCATGTTCAGCAGCCAGACCGAGCCTATCACATGGTTCAAGCCACTCACTCAAGGAACTCCTTCCTCGGCCACTAACAATAAACACCGTATTTTTGGGGTCATTAGAGAGAACACTCAGGCAACGAATGACTTCATCACTAGGAGAACTATCTATCGACGATTGAGGCACAATTGTTCCATCATAGTCCAAGAATATCGCCCTTCTGTGTGTCCTTTTGTACGATGACAATATGCAATCGATGGACAACTTTCTAAAACTCGGAGAAAGCGAAAGAACTCTGAAACGAAGTCCCAACCCAACACCCCAACAACGCTTGCTATAATGATCCTTACACGCCCTCTCCAAATCCATCAGAAAACTGCGGGCCCAATACGCAACATCATGAGACTTAATGTATCGGTAGTGTTTTTCATGCCTCAAATGTTTCTCAGATTCGGGCATGGTAATGGCTGTGCTTAGTGCTTCGGCGACAGCTTCAATGTCCCACGGGTTCACTCTAATTGCTCCACTCAAAGACGGTGAACAACCAATAAACTCAGACACCACAAGTGTGCTAGTCGGTCGAGCAGAATCAGACTTAATACCAGAAGATCCCTGTCTACATACAATGTACTTATACGGCACCAAATTCATCCCATCTCTGACTGCATTGACTATGCAACACTCCGCCACAGCATAATATGCAGTCTTTTCGTAGCGAGCAGCCGGACGGTCGATCAAAACCACCGGTTGGTATCCGGGTTTACCGAAAAGTTCATTGATTCTTTTAGTGGTTGAATATGTTTCCCTCTTTGCTTCTTGAACATCTTTCCCAGAGCTACGCGCTGGGTTGACTATTTGTACAAGAACAAGCTCTCCTTGAAACTTCTGATTTAGTTCCAATAAGTGTTGAAAAGCTAGCAATTTCAAACTGATGCCTTTAAAAATGTCCATATCATCCACTCCAAGAATCACCTTTTTCCCCTTATATTGCTCTTGAATTTCATTGACCTTGTTAATCGTGGAGGACAGCTCCAAAACAGATTCCAACCTGCCCATATGAATACCCACTGGCAAAATTTTTATATAAACGGTACGGCCAAAGTAATCAAGCCCGATATGCCCACGTTTCGATTCATAGTCCAGGCCTAACATCCTACTGCAACATGACAGAAAATGGCGTGCATAATCAAAAGTATGAAAACCAATGAGATCGCAGTTCAGAAGTCCTTTAAGAATATCGTCTCTGACCGGCAAAGTCCGGTATATTTCTGAAGAAGGGAATGGGCTGTGGAGAAAAAATCCGAGTTTGACACGGTGGTAACGTTTCCTCAGAAAAGTTGGGAGAACCATAAGATGATAATCATGTACCCATATGTAATCACTGTCAGGATTCATGACTTCCATTACCTTGTCGGCAAATAACCTGTTAGCAGATACATATGCTTGCCACAGCTGACGATTATATCTATCTCCATGATCTGGGCACATAGGTAACATATAGTGGAAAAGAGGCCACAGATATTGCTTACAGAAACCGTAATAAAACTTCTTATGAATGTCTGGGGGTAGAAAAGTTGGAACACACTTGAACTCGTCCAACAATATCTGTGCAACTTCCTCTTGTTCACTGGGTTCAATCTCAACCTTTAGGGAACCCACGTACAAGAACTCAGTTTCAGAAGAAAACCCATCCTGCATTTGTAAGTGAAGGGAATCTTCATCCAAACTGAAACACCACCGTGAAGTTTCTTTATCCTTCTGAGCATGCAAAGGCAACATATTAGAGACTACAATTTTACGGTCTTGATGGATGGGTGAATTAAAATCCAAGTCACCATCATTGCTTCCATCAGAGATGATTCCAGGAACAGTCATTAGCCGAGGAAGAGCTCTAGGAGTTTGAGGAACATCCAAAATTTCTTCACAAGCCACGTCCAGGAAGTTTGTAGAAGATCTTGATGCCATGTATTGTACTTGACTTAAAAGGATGCTGACAACATAAAAATTATAGATACCTGTTCTACAATGTGAATCAGGTCACACTTGTTATTATACAAACAGGCTCACCAACCTACAAAGTGAAAACAAATACATATTAATTTGCATTCATGCACACATTGCAAAAAAGATCCTACATGCAAGTATCATTAAGATCACACTTTAATGTTCCCAAGAAATGACTCAAGTTTTTGGGTAAAAAAACATTTCCCAGGATTCCATACATGTGAGAGTGTGTGACACACTTGTTTATACAGGCTTTGGATCAGAAAATGTTGGGAGCAAAGATTTCTAAAATATGTAATTAATAGATGATTGAAATTTGATGATTTTAATGAAACAAGTTATTCTATTCCTGACAAAAAAACTTGACCAGATGCCATTTTATTTGAATGTAAATTTCTAATGTTAAGGCATAGTGCAAGACAAGTAAAAACACAGGCAATGCAAAAGCATATCGAGCTTATGTATGGGGGGGCAAAATCAGAGAAAAAAGAAAATAAATATAAGACAATGCTTTGGGGAACTAAATCAATTCACGTTCTGCAGTGAGAAAAGGCAATTGAAAAGAAACATATTATTATTATTATAAGCAACACACAAAGTGTGCATTAATTAGGCATAGTATTATTTTCTATAAAAGACCCAACCTTCAAAAAGTGTTCACTAGTGAGAATGGTCTACTATTATAACTGGCAAAAAATCCTTTTCATCCACTAATCGCATAAAAACAAGTGCTATAATTAATAAGGCAAGGAATACATGATCCTCATGTATTTGGTTTAAGATAAGGATAAATGTCACACGTAAAAAACATGTTATCCAACCAAAGCCAGGGTGCACTATTTGGACATTTCATTTATTCCCCACAAACAAAACGTGACAACACAAGAACTTACCAGCTAAAGATATCCAAGAATCCAAAATATATGTTTCTGATGAGCTCATAACTGGATAGATTTCTAAATAGTATTATTACAAAAAGGTATCATACGGCTATCAACACTAAAAGGTCAAGATATTATCAGGACCTACTGATAACATACATAGTCATAGTCATTTGTAAAACAAACTCTATCATCCATCAGGCTGATCTCTGAATCAGTAGGCAATCAGGGGCACTTCTTTCTGGCGACAAGGTGCATTACGAGATATTAGTTTGTTTACCAGTAACAATGAAAAAAAGTAACCTTCAAAATTCCTCCAAAAACATACAATTCCTAAAATCATTGATAGCAGAAGAGCTTCACGAAGAATCACATATTCCGGGTGAGAAAATGAAGAAGGCCAATAAAAAACTACAGAAACAGATAGAAAAGGTCTCAAAAAAGAAAGGAACAAAAAGAAGACAATCTGAGAATCGCACACAAGACGACTCAATGATACTGCAAGTCTCCAACTAGTGAGTTAAATACTTAAATAAATGGGACTAAAATCATATCCTATCTGAGGTATGCGTAAATCCCAAAAAATCAAGAAGGTCATTTAAAATATTTATTTATATTTAAATATTGCGAAGGATATAAAACTCAAAAACGCAATTACCCATCAAGTCCACAACAAATGAAACCTGAAGTCAGAAAACCAAAATCAAATCTAACAGGCGGTTGAGCAACACAGAAAGAACGCCAATTCCATCATCTGCTTCAAAACCATAAGAACTACTAGTAGCAAACAAGCAAATGAAACACGAAACTTAAATCATTTAAAAAACCATTTGAACCCAAGTAATTCATTTTACACATTCATTTATTTACTTAACAGAACTGATTCAGCATCAAACCACCATAACCCAAAACTCAACAGAAAAAAATTGAAGCCAAACATGGCAAACAGCATATCAGAGAGGAAAAGGAAGATTGATCATATACGTCGGAACTCCGGCGAGGCTTCAACCGGAAAACACCGCGGACGTCCAGTTCCGATGGGAAGCGTCGAGGTCAGAGAGGGAAGGAAGGAGGGAGGGATAAGTGCGTCTCAAGTTTTAACTGAGGATATAAAGAGACCGGGAGTTGAAAAAGGAAATTACGTTTTTATCCAGACAGCGTACAACCAGGGAAGCAAGAGGTACGACGCGTCGTGCACGGTTGACGCTAACGGCCTTCTTTGCGTGGTGATAAGCAAATGGATAAAGTCGCGTGCCAGCTAAGCATAACCGTGGTTAACTCAGATCGAACCATGGGTTTGGGATGGCGGATCAAGTGTGTCTTATCCACTACGCAATGATTATGCCCCGGCTTTTGCGACTTTATTACAGCCTTGCCCTTACCTGCACATGATCCACATGTTCATTAAATGTGAGTCACAATGTAGGATACAATGCAAATATAGAGAGGCATAATCAACCATTAGTGTTAATTGATGGAGAGATTGTGTTTGTTGACTGGTAGACTGGTAGTAGGTGTGCTCAATGCATATTGTTGTTAATTTGATGTATCAGACTAATTAATAAAAGTTCACACTCAATATGTTTAACTGACCATAAAGTTAATTAACTCTATTAATAATAATATTTGTTTCAATAAATAAAAATCTAAGTATTCAAGAACTACATTTAATTTTTTACGCAATCGTAAGAAAATTTCAAATTTGATCAAAGTTAGATATAATAAAAGATTAAGAAAATTTATGTTGCTCGAAGAATAAGGTATAAAATATTTAACTTAGAAGGAGGTATATGTAGTAATTGTTATATGGGAGAATTCCCTGAATAGGAGTAAAAACATTTTAAAATTCCAAAATAGGACTATCATGTTTTTTATTCCTTGAATATGAGTAAATTTCTGTCAAGTTTGACATTACTAGGCTTTAAAACATGACATTTTTCCCAAACATGACAGATTACTCCTATTTAGGGAATAAAAAATATGATACTCTTGTTTTTTAATTTCAAAACGTTTTTGCTCCTATTTAGAGCAATTTCTGTTGTTATATAAAGTGATAATTTTGACAAAGAATAAATGATAATTGTTGAGAGGTAGGCAACACTACATTTCTTTGAAACTGATTTTTTTTGCTAAGCATGGATTATCTTTGTCCAATGTTGAGGTCAATGATACAATATGACTTCTAATATGTGTGGCGAGCTTAATGGATCGAAAACTCTTTTGTTGAATGAAAATCTGCACACAAGATATATTCATTATTTTGCTCACCAGGTGCAATTTGTTGTGGTAGCTATTGCACCAAATAACAAGTTTGTTGGTGGCTTCTTTTAATATATATTTATATCCATGATTACTAACATTGTGGGATCTCTCTTGTAAAAGAAAATACGAGTTTCGGCAAAAACAATATGAAA